TGTCTTAGTTTGTGTTTATAAGTGTTTTGATTCAATTTGTTGCACAAATTCGTCCAAATTCACCAAGGTGCTCAAAACTGCCCAGAAAGTGTTTTTAAGGCAGTTTTGAGTGTTTTGGGTGATGTTTGAGTCTTTTGGTTTGTTTGAGTATTTTAAGCGTTTAGTTTTGCATTCTTTGAGTCTAGTTTAGTGTTTTAAACTTTATTTTACGTTTTTGAGTCAGTTTCCAAGTGATTTACAATCCCTCCTAATCCCCGGTCCAGAACGATCCCTACTTACATACTTACTACAATTGACAAAAAGAGGGTTTAATTTGTGTGCGTATAATTCTCGCATCAGTTGGGGATGGTCTTAATGCAAAAATGAGAGACATACTTGTAGAAAATGGCTAATTAGGGAAACCAATCTCACTTATCCTAATGACAAGTTTTGTAGAAAATTTTCCACACACTATTATGATAAAAAATTACCAACAAGTGAAACTTCTGATAGGAAATGGCTCGCGTACTCAATAGAGTTAGATAAAGTATTTTGCTTATGTTGTAAATTGTTTAAAACAATGGCCTAAAAAGTGAGTTAGCAAAAGATGAAATTAGTGATTGGAGACATCTTGGTGAGAAGCTTGAGCAACATGAAAAAAGTAAAGAACATATCACTAATTTGAAAACTTGGGTTGGGCTGAAAACTAGATTGACAAAAAAATAAAACAATTGACAAAGAATTTCAAAAGTGAATCAAGAAAGAGGCACATCATTAGAAACACGTGATGCTTAGAATTATTGCTGTTGTGAAATATCTTGCCATACATAATTTAGCATTTCATGGAACAAATGGAAGACTTTATGAAGCCTTTAATGGCAACTTTTTAGGTTTACTTGAAAAGATTGCCGAGTTTGATCCAATAATGCAAGAGCGTTTCTGACTCATTGACAATAAAGAGATTCATCATCGCTATTTTAACCATAAAATTCAAAATGAGTTGATAGCTACTTTAGCTTCAAGAGTCAAAACCGTAATCATTAAAAAAAATAAAAGGGGCCAAATTTTTTTCTGTCATCCTTGATTATACTCTTGATGCAAGTCATGTAGAACAAATTACTTTAATTTTAAGATGTGTGACTTGTCAAGTAGATCAATAAAAATAAAAGAGAATTTTTTGGAGCTTTTAAGTGTGGAAGATATATCAAGACAAGGACCTTTGAATGAGTTGCAAGATGTACTAAAATCTCTTGATCTTGATATTGATAATGTGAGGGGATAAGGTTATGATAATAGATCTAATATGAGAAGGAAACACCAAGGTGTACAAAAAACATTGTTAGGCATAAATCCTATAGCTTTTTACATGCCATGTGATTCTCATTGTCTTAATCTAATAGTTTGTGATATGGCAAGTTTGTGTCTTAAAGCAAATTTTTGTTTTTTTGTTTTTTTGGGAGCATTCCAATGTATATATAATGTGTTTTCCAACTCTACAAAGCGTTGAAATATTTTGCTTGAACATATTGATGATTTAACTTTGAAATCATTGTCAACTACTCGATGGGAAAGTCACATTGAAAGTGTTAAAACAATTAAATCCCAAATGTCCAAAATTAGAGATGCTTTGTTTAAGCTGACAGAAATTTTTGAGAATCCCCAATTGAATAGGGATGCAGGATGCTTAGCATCAGAAGAACTTTCAAGTTTTGACTTTGTATTAAGTTTGATTATTTGATATGACATTTTGTTAAAGATTAACATGGTGAGCACAAAATTACAATATGAATACATGTGTCTTGATGTTGCTACGAAGACATTGGAAGCACTATTACATTTTATGAAAGCTACAAAGAAACTGGTTTTGCTTTTGCCGTGATTAATGCTAAAGAAATTGCACTTGATTCGGGAATTGACCCTGTTTTTCAAGCTAAACATCATAGAACTAGAAAAAGACATCATGATGAAATTGATGATAGTGGAGGGAACAACAATCTACTGAAGAATCATTTAGAACAAATTATTTTCTTGTTATTGTGGATATTGCTCTTTTTCAACTGAAACACTGCTTCTTATTCGATGCAAAAAAAGTTAATCTCATTGGATGTTCAGAAGCTAAAAGAGTGTGGCTTGAATCTTGAACCACATTTGAAACATGGAAAATCCATTGATGTAGAAGGAGTCGTCTTATATTTTGAATTACAAATATTGCAAACAATGTTACCTAAAGAGTCACTTCAATCTAATAGGCCTTGGACATCTGTGGAAATAGCAAAGTTTGCAAGAGAAATCGACATGCGTCCAAATGTATTGATTGGTTATCGTGTATTGTTGACTGTACTTATGACTATGGTATCTGCAGAAAGAAGTTTTTCAAAATTAAAATTATTAAAACTTACTTGTGGACCACTATGGTTTAAACTAGGCTAAATGGATTAGCAATCCTATGCATTGAAAAAGATGAGGTTGAAGACTTGGAGTATAATGATAATTGATGATTTTGCTTCAAAAAATGCCAGGAGATGATTTCTAAGGGTTGAAATTTCAAAAAGTTTTGTTTTGTTTGGATTGGATGTATATGATTTTGCTTTTAATCGTCGGGGTTTAGGTACTATGTCCCTCCCGTTGTATTTTTCAAGTAATATAATATGGGCATGAGGGTCTAGTCCCCCAGCTTTGATTTGGTTCCGGCCCACTTTAATTTTTTTTTAATATATGTTTGTGTATTGAAAAAAGGCACGCTTTTTAGCCTTCGCCCTAGGACCAATATGTTTGTGTATTGAAAAAAGGCATGCTCTTTAGCCTTCGCCCTAGAACCAAAAAAGTCAGGACCGGCCTTGCTAACGTCTAGAATCTTTGATGGAAATTGGTGTGGAAACACTCTGGGATACAAATCTTATCCAAGAACCATTTTAGGTACAAGGAGTGGCTTCAATCGAATTATCGATTGAGTCAATTACAATTGGCCTATGTAATCTTCCGGGATATGATGTTGCAATGGACGCGAATGACAACAGTGACATACTTATCGAGGAGGAGGAATGGGACAATGAAAATGATGATAGCGAAAGTTATTATAGTTTGGATGAAGATTAATGCAATTTATTTGTGAATTGCTTTGTAAAATACATTAAAAGATATTTTTTGTAAATTGCGGTGTAAATGCAATTTATTTGTGAATTGTTTTATAAATAATTGTTTTTATTTATTTTTTAGAATAAATTTTAATCAAGTAAAAGAATTAACCATTTATTTGACACATTTGCATGAGAAATAACCCAGTTTTCTTTGCGCAAGTGCTTTAATTTTACACGGGTACTTTTTATATTCAGATACTTACTGTGACGAATGTCTACAACAACATCGGCAAGGGAGCTTCGTGGGATGAATCTTGGTATTTGTCGTGCAAGTTAGTATTTGTGAAATTTTGAATTTATTGTGCGATGAAGCCTTCGTCACGCAAGAATCTTTGTATTAATTCTTTCCAAGCAGCCTTTTCCCCTCACTCTTCTCTCTTCTTCCTCCAACTGCTCTCTCGCCCTCCGACGCCTATCTCTCACCTTCTTTCACCCTTAGTCCCTCCCATACTCTCTCTCTCTCTCTCTCTCAACCTCTCTCATAGTCTCTCGCCCTCTGTCTCTATCTCTCACCCTCTCTTTCCGTCTATCACCCTCTCTCTCTGTCTATCACCCTTTCTCATCATCTCTCACCCTCCCTCTCTGTCTCTCACCCTCTCTCTCTCTCCGTCGCAGTCGATGTCATGGATCTCCAAGAGATTATTTTCCCTTTTGAATTTCATGATTTTAATTTAGGGTTTATAGAGTTAGGGTTCTTGAATTATTTTGCCCATTTTAGAATAAATTGAGACAACGCTTAGTCATCCCCAGGTATACATTGTGTCGACGGACACTTGTAGCTTAGCATTTCTTGCGACGAAGAACTTTGTTCCTAAAAATTTGATGCGACAAGGTCCAAAACTGTTGCGCGACCGTTTGTTGCTTAAGGTCTTTTTTCATGACTTTTGCGTGATGAAATGTTCGCCACTTTGACTCTTATGCAATGGGAAAATGCTTTGAGTGACCAATACTTGTTTGTTGCAATAACTGTTAAATGTAGTAGTGGTAACATTAAATGCAAATGAGGATTGGATGAGCTCAAGTTAACAAAAGAAACGCTACAATCCAGTCTAGACAGCCAGGGGACTAGAAATCTCTACTAAATATAAACTAATGAATTTTAAACATGTTGAATGAATACAAGAATCTTACATCAGAAAATGGAAAAGAAGTTGAGTATAACTTATTTTGAGCAATTCTACTTCCAATTATAATGACGAGTTTTATGATTAAACCTTCCCACCTTACGTGCAGGTGGAAAGATGCGAGTTTGATAACAAGATTTGTGTATGTTTGATTGGGCCCGAATTGCACCTTAACGTTAACTTGCCCAATGTCTTTGGGTATTCGTTATAACTATAAACTTGTGATCTTATTAGGGGTTTTAACAAGTTGTCAGGTCCTTATAGGTTATGCTCTCTATGAAAAACGAGGGGTAGACTGCTAGGTAGTCTTATTCATTCATTCTTTGTTCTCGATTCATGACTTGTCTTATTTCAAATAAGGAAAAACATGTTACTAAAATACTAAACCTAACCCTTACTCAGCTATACACACCCACAACCATCTTTACAGAGAGGTAGACTACTGATAGATAATCAATCTCACTTTATTTTTGTGTTCTTTCCTACAATGAATTGCAGGAATAGCAGGAATGGTCACACCTAACTTTTGTACAATGACTGCAGGGTGGCAGGAATGGTCACAAATGATGAAAATTAAGAAACAACAATGGCAGGCGGTCATTGACCTGCATATCCATGTCCTCATGTGTGCGCTTTGTAATGTTGATTTTTAATGAAATTACACAAAGAAAAATGTTTATTATTACTAGAAAAAGAAAACAAGGTGTGAAAGGAAGGGGAGGAGGAAAAGTATGTGTTTCTCCTCCTTCCTCTTTCCTGTATGACTACTTTTCTTCTCCACTTTCTCTAGATGCTGCGGTTTCAGATTACGGTATATTTCAATTATATCATATTCTTTGAATTCATATGGGTATTTCCTTTTTTAATTTTGTTATCAAATGATTTGGTATATTAATATATTACTATATCTCGTGCCAAACGTGCGAAAATCATGCATGCAAAAAACATACTAGCTACTGCCACAAGCCAACTTATCTTTATATTAAATGCCGGGTAATTGTTTTATGCCTCTGTGTTCGTGAGAGGGAGAGAGAGAGAGAGAGAGAGAGAGAGAGAGATGGGGAACATTTTTCCAGTGTACAAGTTTATTCTGCATGGGGTTATGAAGCTAGTAGGGATGAGACCCCAAACAGTGGACATCGAGCCAGGAACTATCATGAACTTCTGGGTGCCCAATAAAATTACAGAAAAGCAGAAATTCAAGCCCGCCGTGGTATTCATCCATGGGTTTGCAATGGATGGCATCACTACATGGCAATTTCAAGTGCTATCTCTTGTTAAAGACTACGCAGTTTATGTTCCGGACCTTCTCTTCTTTGGAGGCTCCACTACGGATAAACCAGATAGATCACTGGAGTTTCAATCGGAGTGTGTGGCAAAGGGTTTGAGCATACTTGGGGTGGAGAGGTGCACCGTGGTGGGGCTGAGCTATGGAGGCATGGTTGGGTTTAAGATGGCTGAGTTGTACCCTAATTTGGTTGAGTCTATGGTGGTGACTTGTTCAGTTATGGCTTTAACCAGGTCAATTACTAATGCATCTCTTGATAGACTTGGGTTCAAATGCTGGTCAGATTACTTGCTTCCCGACTCAGTCAAAGGTGTGAGAAACCTTTTTGAAATTGCTGCCTATAAATTTCCACATCTCCCTGATTGGATTTACAAACACTATTTAGAGGTATGTTATTTGGATTAATTAGATAGTTGCTTATCCTAACCCACCCATGCATATTGATCTGGATTCGTACTCATGTATCGTTTGAGGTCTTAAATTTTTGAGTCAATGCATATATATGAGCGTTGTGCATGGCTGTAGGTTATGTTTGAACACAGAAAAGAGAGAGTGGAACTTTTGGATGCATTGATTGTGGAAGACAAGGACTTTACAGCCGCTCATTTCCCACAGGTTTTCTATACATTTTGGACAGTCTGCATCTTTATGTCCGCCATTATCCAAATATGTTAGACAATTTGGTAATGTTAAGGGCCGTTTGATAACTATTTTATTTGTTTTCTTTCTACTTTTCTTTTAAAGCTAAAAATTGAACATTTGTCTGCTACTGCAAGTTATTTTGGTGAAAATTGAAACCTGAAATGGCTGTCAAACATGTCCTAACGAATCAAAGAAAGTGATCTATCTAATGTTTCTCCAATGCTTTCCTTTGATACTAATGTCTCGATCGTTTTCTTGCAGCGTGTGCATCTTTTGTGGGGAGAGAATGACAAGATTTTCAACATGGAAACTGCCAATAATCTCAAACTGTATGCCTAACTTGTCTTAGACATATACATTATTTTACTCATTCAAGAACTTTGACTTTAATGTAAACCTTAATTTAAATGGATCGACTTAATTTGTTATATTCATTAAAATCTTTCAGATACAGTACTATATGAAGATAATCCATTTATATTGGGGTCTTCTGATTATATGACAGCCAACTTGGAGACAACGCAACTCTACAGTCAATAGAGAAGACGGGCCACCTTGTTCAAGTGGAAGGACTATTTGTATACAACAAGGAACTCAAGAAATTTCTCTCTTCCCTGTTAGAAGAAAATGTGCACGAATAACAAACAAACTTTGCAAATTGCAACCACTTAAACTCTAATAGTTGAAAATTTAAATTACTGTTTTGCAAAAGCTAATCGGTTTATTTCGTGTTGTAAATTGTTATTGAGGCAGATCAAAAGGCCTATCGAAGGAAAGGAAAATACAAATATTTTGAGCTGATATCAGGCAACGGATTATATTTCATCTCCCGAATTTTTCTTTAGAGGATGTGGTTGAGTTTCTTTGTAATAAAAATATTTGAGCCACAACTTGCTGAATGCATACTGTATACTTTTGCTTTACATTATTTCTGATGAAACAAAGGTGACATCACTACAAAAAATTAAAAAAATTAAAAAAAAATTAAAAAAAACTTTTTGTCGCTCAAGCTCACAATTCGTCGTCTTAGATTTCGACGGACAAACATTCATCAGGCAAAGATCGTCCCGCAAATGTCGTTGCGCGAAATTTTGCCCGACAAAAATTAGAAACCATTGGACAATAGGACTTTGCCCAACAAACATTCCACGACCATTTCATTGAACCAAATTGCATTGACCAACTTTGCTCGACAAACCATACATGCTAGACCGAAATCTTTCATCGAACAAAGTTTAAATTTATGAAAAATAATAATAAAATATATTTAACCCGACAAAAATTTCGTTGGGTAAGATTTATAAAAAAAAAAAAAAAAAAACAAATTATAAAGGTAAATTCTTACCCAACAACTTAATTCATCGGGCAACTGCTTGACCCTGGAAGACGTCCATCTCCTAAAATTAGAAATTTTGAAAATAAATGTAGAGCCAGTGCTATTCGTCCATCATATGCTCAAAACTATACGGCAGATGGGTCAAAGCTTCATCATATAAGTTTCTAAAGTCTTGTATTGCATGTGCAACTTGTACTCCCAATCACTTAATTGATTATTCCAGAGCCTAGTTATGTAGTTGGACATACTCGGCACTTTCAAGTCAATCTCGAAGTTGCTCTGAAATAGGCAAAGAATAAGTGTTAGTTATAAAAATACATTCAGTAAATAAGTAATTATCTCGAGTAATCAAAATTATTAAAAAAATTAAATAATAAAAACACATTTATGGAGAGCTCTACCATCAGCGCCTGCTTCACTTCGGGGGAGATATTCTTCCATTTAGAGGCTATCTGGGGCACCTCATGCGGATGAGGGCTCCTATCGCGCAATATTGCATGAAGTCGGGGTTGGGCACACATATGTTGTGGGTTGTATTCAACCTTCATTTTTCCTTCATCCCTTATGCGGATATCACATGATCTTGGCATATATGGAAAAAAATTGGAAACAATTTCTAAAAATTCCAAGCATTTCTAAAAATTTCTAATATTTTGTACAAATTTATAATACTTCCTAAAAATTTGTAACATATAAAAACATTCTAATTTAGTTTCTAATATTTCTAACGAATTTATAATATATCAAAATATTGAAATTAATATTTCCAACAAACTTCATATATTTCTAAAAAATATAATACTTCCTAAAACTACCGTGCGTATCTGCTTCTAGTCCCCGTCCCCCCACCACCACACCCCCCCCCCCCTCCTTCTTTCCCTCTCACCCTCCGTCCTCCCCTACCGTTCCCCCTCCCCCTACTCTCCTCACCCGTCCTTCTCTCACCTCTCCAATTTTTTTAACCCCCCACCCGTAAAAATTCACACATATAAATCACAAGTAATTCACAAATTTAAAATGTAAAAAATTTGTAATATAAATTTTAATTCGAAGTAAGTGACCATTTTATACCTTTGTGAGAGTTTGAGAGTTACAGAGGGTCGAAAGAGATAGGTAGTGTGAGAGCTAAGGAAAGAGGCAAGTTTGCAGTGGGGGAATTTTGGAGAGAGAGAGAGAGAGAGAAAGAGAGGTCCCGACCTGATATAAAGCAGCAGGCCTTTGCCTGATGAACCATTACGTCGGGCAAGGGTCTCTAATTTTACACGTAATACGTGAAGGTTTGTCCGACAAATTATTTCGTTGGGCAAGGCCTTCATAAAATAAATCTGCCAAATGAAAATTTTGAAGAAAAAGATGGAGAAAAAGACTTTTACCCGATGAAATACATAAGATTTCATTGTGCAAACCTTTAAAATTGAAGGAAATTTGACTTTTTGAGAAAAAATCAGGGAGAAATTTTTAGGCTTGCCTAACGAGAATAGGGATTTTCAAGAGGCAAAAGAGAGAACATCTCTCACTATCTTTTCTCTCTAGGGAGGCCGGCCACTAGGGAAGAAGAATGCTAGAATTTTCTTCTTCCTTTGTCACTCATCTCCTTCCTCCATTCATCCTTGGTGTCGAAACTTAGAGGCCTCCTCCTTTCGTGGCTTTTGGAGAACTCATTCCTCCATCGAAACTAAGAAGACAAGGAGCAAAGAAGTAAAGTTCCTACTTTCAAACCCATAGAGGCAAGGAGCAAGGATGCAAAGGATTGAATACCTTCTCATGGGTGATTAACCTTTGCTAAGCAAAGAGGTGCTTCAAGGTATAAAAAACATCAACTCCCTTTGTTATTTTGAGACAAGTCTAGGTTCACCAATATACTAGGATTTGAATTTCAGGTTTAAGTTTTGTTTTAGAGTGCATACAACATGCTTCTACCATTTCATAGTTAAATGCATGTAATATGGTGTTCAATGAACTTAGTTTATCAAAAAGTTTCCGCCAAGTGGTATCTAGATGCTAGGTCTAATAGTTGGTGAACCCCTTTGGGTTTTGTTGTTCGTGGCTTATGATATCAATGTTGTAATAGTTACAAGCTTTATTCTTGCTTCTTTAATTGTACATTTTGCTTGAAATTTTTCCATCTCAAAAGTTGTTGATGTAGGGCATGAATTTTGGAGATAAATTTGGGGCCATGTTTGTTGGGAAATTCAACCAAATCCATGCGGTGGATTTTTGGGTTCATGTTTGCCTTGTTAAAAAAATTTTAAAGGGACATTAGGAACCCCTAAGTACCCTAGTATGTTAATCCCCTTTTGTTGAAGAGAGTTTTGAATTTCTTTGCTTTAAAAATATTCATGGAGCTCTTATGGTTTTTTATGAAGGTTCTTATTGTTCTTCCTATTCACAGCAAAAACAAAAAGTTAAAGAGTTTTGGTGCAAAATTACTTTGTGTTTTGTTTAGTCTTTGTTTGTGTTGGTTTGTGTGATTAGACTGATCCTTTAATAAAGTTTTCATAATTATTGAAATTTTTAGGTTTTAGCTCATAACATGAAGTTGTGAACATTTGTGTACTTACAAAGTGACCCCAAAAGTATGTCTTTTGCACAATGGTCCAAAGTTAAGGTTATTGCAGTTTGGCCCAAAATAGTTAGAGGACAACGTAGTCCCTCTTTAAATGAGAATTAGATTATCGTTTCATTTAGCTCCATTTAAATCAATTATATGTATACAAAAACTGATTCATATTACTAAATTATTCTTTTGGGCATAGAAGTACAACGTTCTGCTAGTGGTCTCTATCTCTTTCAAGCAAGTATGTTTTAGATTTACAATTTATGGTTGTTGTCTTAATCTTTATGATGGTGAACCTCTCTCTGATGTGACTGAATTTCGTAGTGTGGTTGGAGCCCTACAATATCTAGCATTCACAAGGCCTGATATTACTATTGTTGTCAATCAAGTTTGCTAATATATACATCGTCTTACCACTAATATCATTGTTTTGAAAATTGTTTCTTGATCTTCAACTCCTATATTCACCACCACATATTTGGTGTGACATTATTTTAGCAATCTCCTTGGTATTAAGTCTAACCTAGTATTTCATTCTCGAACTCACCATTTCGAGGTGGATTATCACTACATGTGCCAAAATGTTACTTGAAAAGAGTTTACAGTTGGTTTTTTTTTTTTTTTTTTCCACAAAAGATCAAATCACAGACTTTTTGACAAAAGGATTATTGACAAAAAGGTTTAATCTTGTTCTTTCCAAGCTTTCCATTCATCGTCTACCTCTCAGTGTGCGGGGGCATGATAAGCAAACCCTGCCATATCCAAATTAAAATATCATCTCATCCAAATGGTTACAACTGGAAGTTTCACCAATATGTAGCAATCAGTCCCTAATTTTATGACTTTATAAATTTAAAAGTGTGAATTGACGAGCATACCCTAGAGGAGAGATTATTGACTTTTTTTGACCATTATTTCGTGACACTTATGAGCCATTATTTTATGGTATTCTCGAAGTACTTGACGGTACGAACGCATAGGCACATGCAGAATCGAAATTGGAGTTACATGGAAGGTTTTACAGAACTACAAATCTGAAGAATCCTTTTGTAAAAATTGCTATTTATTATTTTATTTACTCCTTATAATTATTATATTATTATTTTAATAATATTTTATTATTATGTTATTATTTTTAATAATATTTGGTGGAATATTTTTAATATTTTATTAATTTTTCTAGCCATGGGGTCCACACCCCACTTAACTCTCATCTCCCTCTCTTCCACATGGCATCTTCTTCTCTATTCACTAGGAAACTCTCGAACTCTCTCTCGATCTCACTCTCATCTCTCTCTTTCTCTCTTTGCCATTGTGCATATATAGTGCACCAATTTTTCGACCACCACCATCCAAACCAAGAGCACCATAAGCTCAAAACACACAACCTCACCTTGAAATTCTTTCTGGATCGTCGGGATCGAATTTCAATCAGGTTGCGACCTTTCTGGCCATTTTCTAGCCAATCCACGGTGAGTTAGTCATTGAGAAAGGTACCATTCTCTTATCTCGTCGAGAGGTATGATTTTTCTATTTTGAATCACCCAATTTCGTTGAGTATGGAAGAAGTTATAACCATTGGAATTTTCCCCAATTTTCGGCGACCTCCATGCTTAACAGACATTTTCAGGCCATCTCCGGCCACTTTTTAAACTCCAAACGGGTATAATCTTGTTTTGCTCTTCTCCAGCTTCGTTTTGATATGGGTCGATTTTGGTTGAGAAATGGCAGAGATATAGCCATTTGAAAATCCTCCAGAAATTTGGCCAATAAA